TCAATAGTTTTTGTTTTTGTAAAGTGGAAACACCACATGAATCCTTTCTGGGCGCCATATTTTCATACACGTGTTGTTTGCAAACTTTGTCTGTGCCGTGAATATTCTCATTTTTATGATCAGAAATTCTGTAAGAACCGAAGTATTATACAGATTCAATAAAGGCAGACTCGTGGGAACAGTTAGGTGATATTTTCAATCGAAATTTGACCGTACGGGGAAAAGATCAAAAGCTGAAACTGATGTCTACGAAATGTGATGTTTGTAACAAGGTACTTTCTGAGAAAGGAAATTTGGCAAGACATAGGAGAACACACACTGGGAACAAAACTTTTGAATGTGATGTTTGCAACAAAAGATTTTTGCGATCAGACACTTTAGCTAGCCATAAGAGAACACACACTGGAGAGAAACCTTATGAATGTGATGTTTGCAACAAAAGATTTTTGCGATCAGGCATTTTAATTAGCTAGCCATAAGAGAACACTCACTGGAGAGAAACCTTATGAATGTGATGTTTGCAACAAAAGATTTGTCCAATCAGGCAACTTAGCTACCCACAAACGAACACACACTGGAGAGAAACCTTATGAATGCGATGTTTGCAACAAAAGATTTTCTGACCCAACCACCCTATCTAAACATAAGAGAACACACACTGGAGAGAAACCTTATAAATGTGATGTTTGCAAAAAACAATTTTCGCAATCAGGCCACTTAGTGGTTCATAAAAGAATACACACTGGAGGCAAACCTTATGAATGTGATGTTTGCAAAAAACAATTTTTGCAATCAGGCCACTTAGTGGTTCATAAAAGAATACACACTGGAGGCAAACCTTATGAATGTGATGTTTGCAAAAAACGATTTACTGCCCCAAGCACCCTAACTCAACATAAGAGAACACACACTGGAGAGAAACCTTATGAATGTGATGTTTGCAACAAAAGATTTTCTGACCTAAGCACCCGAACTAAACATAAGAGAACACACACTGGAGACAAACCTTATGAATGTGATGTTTGCAACAAACAATTTTCACAGGCAAGCACCTTAGTCAGACATAAAAGAATGCATACTGGAAACAAACCTCATGAATGTGATATTTGTAAGAAGAGATTTTCATGCTCGAGCCACATAACTACGCACAAAAGAACACACACTGGAGGCAAACCTTACCAATGTGACGTTTGCAACAAGAGATTTTCAGGATTACACAATTTAACACGACATAAAACATCAGCACACAAGAGAAATCAGAGTTTTGAGTGCGGTATCTGCAAGAAAACATTCAGACAACGACAAAGTTTCAAACGTCACTGGATGTCGCACTTGAGAGATGGCTTATTATTGTGCCACACCTGTGGCAGAGAAATTATTCGAGGTCAAGCACATGCTAATGAGATACAGAAGAGTGATGATCATTTTGACTGTGACAAATGCAACAAACAGTTCCCTGATATTGAAAGTTTAAGTCAGCACAAGGCCAAAGACCATGGTATGTCCTACCAATGTGATGTCTGTAAGGAATTAGAAGCAAGAGAAGCAACTGGTATTGGTTATATCGGTTGTGCCTGCGATGCAGAGTTAGAAATTGCCACTGAACTTGAAGATCATATGAGTATGCATGACAACATGCTGCCCCACTAGCTAGGCAATTAACATATCTAGGCAATTAACATATCTAGGCAACATAAATTGAAAATATTTGTTTGATATGTTGTAATGTGTTGAAATTTATCTTGAAGTTGTTTTGAGATTGTTTGAAATTGATTGATAACTTCTTTTCGGATTGTCTCTAATAAACTTGTTAAAAAAGTATAACTGTTCAATTTTCAAATTATGTTAATATTTTGCTAAGGGAAGCCTGGCATATCGATTTTGTCCATGAGAAACGTCATATGTTCGTTTCTCTGGAGACCACCCCCACCATTCCCCCCCATTCCCCCCCCCCCCCACCCCTTCGAAACGTCACACATAGTTATCGATATTTTGTTCTTATAGTACACATAAGCTAATTTTCTACGGTTCGCTATTGGCGATGCTTCCGCGAGGAATATGTCATCTTCTGCTGACATGTTTTTTATTAATATATATGAACTTCAAAATTTCCAACTTTTCTTCAAATTTCTTTTTTTGCATGAGATATTGACAATTTTAGCGCATTTTCCTTGAAATTTGAGTGTTTTCAATGCCAGGACGGCGTAATAATATAAATGTATAGAACAGGTATGGTATTACGAATGTATACACTGTCACTGGAGTTTGTATCAAGTTGTTTTTCTTTTTTAAATTCTGCAATGATGATTCTGAAATGTTAAAGCTTTCGAAAAAACTATCGAATTTTTCCATGTTGTTTTACAGAGAAACGCCACAGCCAGGGCCGTAGCCCTCTTAACTACGCACAAAAGAACACACACTGGAGGCAAACCTTACCAATGTGACGTTTGCAACAAGAGATTTTCAGGATTACACAATTTAACACGACATAAAACATCAGCACACAAGAGAAATCAGAGTTTTGAGTGCGGTATCTGCAAGAAAACATTCAGACAACGACAAACTTTCAAACGTCACTGGATGTCGCACTTGAGAGATGGCTTATTATTGTGCCACACCTGTGGCAGAGAAATTATTCGAGGTCAAGCACATGCTAATGAGATACAGAAGAGTGATGATCATTTTGACTGTGACAAATGCAACAAACAGTTCCCTGATATTGAAAGTTTAAGTCAGCACAAGGCCAAAGACCATGGTATGTCCTACCAATGTGATGTCTGTAAGGAATTAGAAGCAAGAGAAGCAACTGGTATTGGTTATATCGGTTGTGCCTGCGATGCAGAGTTTGAAATTGCCACTGAACTTGAAGATCATATGAGTATGCATGACAACATGCTGCCCCACTAGCTAGGCAATTAACATATCTAGGCAATTAACATATCTAGGCAACATAAATTGAAAATATTTGTTTGATATGTTGTAATGTGTTGAAATTTATCTTGAAGTTGTTTTGAGATTGTTTGAAATTGATTGATAACTTCTTTTCGGATTGTCTCTAATAAACTTGTTAAAAAAGTATAACTGTTCAATTTTCAAATTATGTTAATATTTTGCTAAGGGAAGCCTGGCATATCGATTTTGTCCATGAGAAACGTCATATGTTCGTTTCTCTGGAGACCACCCCCACCATTCCCCCCCCCACCATTCCCCCCCCCCCACCCCTTCGAAACGTCACACATAGTTATCGATATTTTGTTCTTATAGTACACATAAGCTAATTTTCTACGGTTCGCTATTGGCGATGCTTCCGCGAGGAATATGTCATCTTCTGCTGACATGTTTTTTATTAATATATATGAACTTCAAAATTTCCAACTTTTCTTCAAATTTCTTTTTTTGCATGAGATATTGACAATTTTAGCGCATTTTCCTTGAAATTTGAGTGTTTTCAATGCCAGGACGGCGTAATAATATAAATGTATAGAACAGGTATGGTATTACGAATGTATACACTGTCACTGGAGTTTGTATCAAGTTGTTTTTCTTTTTTAAATTCTGCAATGATGATTCTGAAATGTTAAAGCTTTCGAAAAAACTATCGAATTTTTCCATGTTGTTTTACAGAGAAACGCCACAGCCAGGGCCGTAGCTAATGCTTCAGTCATTTGAAATCACGGTCTTCACGGACCCCCCAAACCCGGGAAATAGCGGGGATTTAACGCTATTTAACAACGTGCTATGCCCCGGAGGGCAGTGGAATTAACTAAATGTTCTTATAACCGGGAAATTGACCCGGGATATAACAGCCGCTATATATGAATAACCGGGGATAGCCGGGACTGGCGAAAAACTTGTTCAACAGTTACGTACGTTTGAAACTTTATGTTTTATACTTTATAATCGCCAGCCTGTCAGCCATCCGTTGCTGTTAATATTCAATAAGCATCAGGCATTGCCTTTTCCATTGTTAGAATAATAGGCATAGTACAAAACATGGACTGGACTGGACTGGACTGGACAGTTGGACTGGACTGGACTGGACAGTTGGACTGGACTGTTGGACTGGACTGGACAATTGGACTGGACTGGACTGATTTTTGATTTTCTCTATTCTTGACTTGTACGTCACCCGCCATGTTAGGTGGCATGGCACAAAAGAATATTTATCACATAATAGATATACCATGTCTATTTTGTGATTTTATCGATGAACATTGTCTGGTGTGTACCAGGAGGAGATTGGTTGCAAGTCATTAATATAACGTTTTGCACCTGAATTACTTTCGGAATTGATTTTCGGGAATTGGAATACTTTCCCTTGCCGGTGACCTCACTTTATAACTGGAGTGAAATCTCTTAAAGCGAAAGAAACCCCAGTAGGTAGAATAGAATAGAATACAATACCAAACGTAAACTACTTATCTGTCTTTGCTATGGGTAGCCAGCTGGCATACGTAATAAATTTCGATAGTTCAGTCTGCATGGCCATGGGCGTAGGAAGATCGATATTTGGGGGGGCTCATATTCATATATTCGTGTTCTGCATCATTACTTCTTTTGAAATTGATTGCTTTATGAATATATGAATATGAGCCCCCCAAAATACCGATCTTCCTACGCCCATGGCCATGCAGACTGAAATCAGGGGCGGCGCTACAGGGGGGGTGGACACCCCCCCCCCCCACTCGTCAGCTAATCGGCAAATTGTTATCTCAGTCGGCAAAACTGGATTGGCTAAAGATAACCACTGAAGAAACCAAAATTGACCTCCTGAATAATTGAATTCAAACCGAATATCACGAATAGCATGCATCAAAGAAACCACACATGCAGCAATGCAAATTTTTTCGAATACAGTATCTTCACTTCTGGCAGCTAGTCCAAAAACATATTATTATTGAAATCATAGTTAGGTAATTAAATTTGTATGGTTGTTGTTGTTGTTGTTGTTGTTGTTGTTGTTGTTGTTGTTGTTGTTGTTGTTGTTGTTGTTGTTGTTGTTGTTGTTGTTGTTGCTTATTATACTGTTCTATAAAAGAGGCAATAAAGTCGGTTTTCCACTAGCGAATTTTCTCGCACGAAGCGACCTTTTTCCTTTGTCGGTATCACTTATTACGTCAGCAAGACGTGGCAAAATCAGTCCTCGAAAACGAGGTCGGCTTCGGCAATGCCGAGCTAAATGCAAATTTTTGTCCACCTTAATTCAACCAAAGTAAGAATTTTTATGCTGATAGGTTTTAAAATGTCAGCGATTATAGAATTCGATTCGTTGTTCGATTAACTGAACACAATACGGTGTAAGGTTTAAAAACTGACAGGTATTGTGTATATGCGTTAGATGTTTGAAGATCAAATTTCGCGCGTCTGGAGTTAAAATTTGGCTCCAACTTTCGAATTTTCCGGCTGGAGGTAACGTTCCAGTTATATTCCGATTTCAATGATTCGTAAATGCGTGATTAACAGTGCTCCAAGACGTGGAACAGATTTTAAGAAATGCCGAGATTTTGACTTTTCGAGGGCTGCAAAATGGATGCCGACAGGAATTTTGGGTTTTCTGATTATGCGTGTCTCAGAATGATGCAAATGCCATTTCCGGGATTCAAATTTAAAAATTTTCCGTGCCTTCGGCACGTGCCTCCCCCCCAACATTTCATAAAATGTCCGCTACTTGCACACACGGTGGCTTAAAAGGTCTTAAAACTGTTTATTCTACCGATAAATAAAGGGTTTTTTATTGACTGGGATTTCAATAACTCGGACTGGGATTTCTAATAAAAATCCAACTGGGACTGGGATTTTGCCAAAATTTCAGGTGGAAAATGGGATTGGGACCCCCCCCTTCAGGACCCTCACTATAGGCTAATGACTCGGCAAAATTACCAAACAACAGTCGGCAAAAGATCACTCACACCCCCCACTCGAAGAGGGTTAGCGCCGCCCCTGCACTTGAAAAGGTAAATGTAGAGTGTTTATTAAATTTTTAAAAGAATCAAACTTGTTTGAAATACTCCTTACGTTTAAATGACAAAGCGAAAAAAATTCTTGTCTATTCAGATTTTTAGTTTGCTGTCTAAATTCATCCGGAAGGTAATAGTCGCACTTTATGTTGTTTGTAGTGAAAGATGAGTTTGAGAAATGAAAAGGAAAGTTATTTTGATCACTCATATTTTCATAACACATATCTACAGTAGGTTGTGCCATAGTGTACTACATAAAAAGAGAAAAGACTAGCTTGTATAAGTAAGCAATAATATTGTGAAATTTGGCTCTACGATGATGTTGAATTTGCTTCCCTGAATAGCTGCCCATCAATGTAAAGTTTGTCCCTTACCAACTTAGCTCTTCTGCCTTCTGCTCTCGCTTTCTTATATTCTGGGAAAAGCCGCTTGCGTATTTTCACAATCTCCTCTGGGAACTGTTCCGATATTGCCAGATTAGTGCCTTTCAATTTCTTTGCGTTGGATAATACACGCTCTCTGTCTGGGAAATAATTGAATTTGGCAAGTATAGCCCGTGGCTTTGTCCCTCGCTGTTTTCTTCTATCAATCTTTATAGATTTTGCATTTTCTATACCCAGACGACTTTCTAGAAAACTCTGGAGGATCTCTGTCGTATTTTCTTCCTCATTTTCTTCGATATTATAAAATACCAGGTTATCGCGCATTGACCTTGCCTGAAGGTCAATGACGCGATTGTTTAAAATAGTGTTTTGTTCCTCTAAACTCTGGAGCCTCTTTTGTGTTTCTACGTCTCTTTTCTTCAGCTTTTCGTTGTCTTTCTTTAGGTCTTCGACCTCTGCGTGGACGAACTCGAGAGATTTCTTCATTTCTTACAGCTCATGTTCGACAGACTGCATACGGCTGTCTATAATATCAAGCTTACCAAGCTTACTCATAATTGTTTCGAACATAGACGATACATCAGGGCTTATTTCTTCTTTCATTCCTTCCTTATTCTCGTTAGGTTTAGATATTTTTGGTCGAACTGACTTAGAGGGCGTGTTTGATAACGAATTATTGAGATTTTGCGCACCGCGCTTGGGAGCCTGATGTCGCGACCCCATATTGCCCAAAAAATCATTTCGATCCAAAAAATCAATTCGCGCAGAAATAAGCCTTGTTGAATTATAACTATGATAATGCAACCGCAATATCACATACAATGATTCATATAATAGGATGTGTTTTCATTATAAAAATTTAGGTTCAACTGATTAAGCAAAGATGACTACATCTTCTTAACCTGTCAGCAAAAGATGACTGCATCTTTCTGAACACAAGAGTCTCCACTAAATTGGTCTTTATAATATAAACACAAATTTGCGCTAGCTTTGGCGTTTGCAAACTGATTTTAAAACAAAAAGATTTCGTGTACTGTTTGCGGCCTCTTGATATAGCTATACAATAATCACATTCCATTTGGCTGGCCAGTTCTAGTCAGTGCAATTCGCGCAGAAATAAGGCTTGTTGAATTATAACTATGATAATACAGACCTATATAGCTACCGTATGTAGCTGCAACCGCAATATCATATACAATGATTCATGCATAATAGGATGTGTTATTATATTATAAAAATTTAGGTTCAACTGATTAAGCAAAGATGACTGCATCTTCTTAACCTGTCAGCAAAAAATGACTGCATCTTTCTGAACACGAGAGTCTCCACTAAATTGGTCTTTATAATATAAACACAAATTTTCGCTAGCTTTAGCGTTTGCATGCACATGCAGTGATTTAAAAACAAAAATATTTCGTGTACTGTTTGCGGTCTGTTGATAACATTCTATTTCACTATTTGGCTGCCCGGTTCTAATCAGTACAATTCGCGCAGAAATAAGGTTTGTTGAATTATAACTATGATAATACAGACCTGCTGTACAGAGCGCTGACAATAGTACGTAACCCCAATATCATATACAATGATTCATGCATAATACGATGTGATTTCATTATAAAAATTTAGGACAACAGCAGCCGACTTTGCTCTGATAGGACAGATTCGAATGCCTTACTTGCTCCAAGCGTCGAGAACAAAACTCTGTCGTGCCAGTGATAACGTCTTTAGTCACCCCGGCAAAGAAACGGCGATGCGATACTTGGCGACCTTCGTCGTCTCGCAAGTCTTCAAGTTTGACCCGTTTAATCTCTGATGGAAAACACTTGAATGTAGAATGTTTTACTAACAAGCGACTTATTGTATCAATTTGTATGCATACCAATTTTTCTTATCATCTACGTTGTGCGCAAACACTCGCTTGAACGTCGTCCATTGATGCGCCTTGAATGCTGTCTTGGCGTGTATTATATTCGAATTTGGCGCGCGATTTTTGTTTTTATATGACGACCACAATTTGCAATGTGTAATATGAAGTCGAGATATTAAAGAAACTAATTCGTAGTTAATATTAAATGAAAGTTTGGTTTCAAAGATACTATTACAAATAAGTAGCAAGGTTCGATAATTAATATATGTCATCAGTTCATCAACTTTGACACAAAACTATGGTTACCAACACCAGAAACGCTAATCCTTTCACACATCGTGCGGATTCTGAGTTTAGGTTTTTGTCGAGGGTCGAGTGTCGAGGGTCCAATGTCGAGGGTGAGGGTAAAAAGTCGAGGGTGAGGGTAAAAAGTCGAGGGTGAGGGTAAAAAGTCGAGGGTGAGGGTAAAAAGTCGAGGGTGAGGGTAAAAAGTCGAGGGTGAGGGTAAAAAGTCGAGGGGGAGGGTAAAAAGTCGAGGGTCGTAAAAAAAGTCGAGGGTTGTATTTTTACGACAACTAAGACAACTACTAACGATAAAAGAGTTTTTAAAACGGTGTTTCTCCTTATGTAAATCATGAATTAAGGGAGAATTCTGGTCTAGAAACCATGGGCGTACCGGAAGGAAAAAATTGGGGGGGGCGGAAAGAAAATTGCCCGACTTTTCGGGATTTTGCCCGACTAGTACCAAAAAATTTTTTCCGGAAAAATTTTTTGGCGAACTCCCAAAATTTTTTTGGCGACCTCCCCGTCGCCAAAAAAATTTCGGTCAATGTACCATTTTAGGGGTCAAAAAAATTTTCCGGACAACCAATATTTTTCGGAACATACACAAAACTTTCGAAAAATCACAAAATTTGCCAAAAATTGACTTAATTTTAGACAAAATTTACAGAATTTGTCACATTTTTTTTTTATTGCAAGCCAAAATTGCCCGACTGTTGATCGAATATTGCCCGACTGCCCAAAAAACTGGGGGGGCTGCCGCTCCCCCCGCCCGGTACGCCTATGCTAGAAACTAACTCATTAAGTTGATGATTTGGGTCGTCTGGTTAAAAAGTTTCACGCACGCAGCATGTCTTCTAGCTTGTAATGTCTCCAGGCCACTCGGATTAAGGCATTTTTAGATAAAAAGGCGGAATTTTTTCATTAAAAGCAAAGTCAAAGAGCATTTATTATCAATATTAACTTAAAAGTCTTAAAAGAGTTTCTAAACGTAGTATAATTTCATAAACAGGCCAATGGCAATGTTCAACCTCGCATCAAGCAAAGGTCTCCGTCCCGCCGCAGGTGTGCTTGCGAGGTTGGTCAATGACAATGTTTGGCCGTGAGACGAGTAATATTGACTGAATCATTTAGCGTTAATTGGTTTCTAGTTGAAACAGTGGCATGTCTGCACCGCGCTAACCGCGCTCCGATCTAGCAGAAAACCACACAAGTTTTTTATCATAACTTGCTATTGGTAATATATTTTGCCTTAATGTATTGCCATTACTGGCTTGAGGATTACAGCTGCCCGACAATCTATGCTGTTACGTTAATTTGATAAGAAAGCAAAGAGACCGTTCTCATATTAGACATAAACATGTTAACTTGCGAGCGTGAAGGGTCTTAGAAAATAATCGCTTAGAAAATTTACGCGAGGTAGTATCTTTTAAAAGTTAATGTAGTTCTGCATACATATATATGATAAGTCCATGTCACAACATTAAACAAGTTATTTTGCCCGCAAATTTCGACCCTCGACTTTTTTTATGACCATCGACTTTTTACCCTCACCCTCGACTTTTTACCCTCACCCTCGACTTTTTACCCTCACCCTCGACTTTTTACCCTCACCCTCGACATTGGACCCTCGACACTCGACCCTCGACAAAAACCTAAACTCGCGGATTCTCATGACGGTTGCAATCTTATGATTTGTTGCTTACATTTCTTGTCATCGCTTACAAACAAAATATTTTATAAAGAGCACCGCTATCAAACAAGCGCCGCCTCTAATAGGCTAAGCATCCGTACCACTGAAAAGTTCAAGGGCGTTGCCTTGTCTAAACGACTAAATACAGTACCTCCACTTTCGCACATGGTGACGGAAAAGGTATAGTTAGGACAAACAGTGGCGGAAATCTTGGTGGGGTGGGGGGCGCCACCCCCCCCCCCCCCCCCCCCCCAGAAAATGACGAATGTTCGCAAATTTTTTACCTAAAAAGGGCCTAAAGTAACAACCTTTTCAGTTACAAATGGGGGTTGTCGGAAATTTGAAAGTTTTGTCAGAAATTTAGGAAGCTTTGCCCCCCCCACCGGAAAAGGTGAATTTCCGCCACTGAGGACAAACCTTGAGTGACTTCACTGACTTGAAAATGGTGGGATGACTTCCCTTAGAAATATCTGGAAATGTAATCGCGATGGGCCGATGGCATTATAAACTGCGAAGTAGGGATACTGAATAACTATCATCCAAATAATTACTATTAGGATTAAAATTAACATAAGGAATTAGTTCCCTTATGCAGAAAATAAGACAAATATATTAAGAAAGCAACTCTTGATATTCCTTTCTGTGGGATAAATTGTCTCTATATTTACTGATGCAATATATAATTTAAGATGCGTGAACCCGGAGATTTACTATTGTTCTGTTATAGTATCAAACTCATAGTAGAATCACATAATTAAACTGTAATAAATTTATCACAATTTGTTATTTACAATATATAATTCAAAATGCCATTTACACGAAATGGGAAGAATTTGTAACCATCAATCAAGAGCGGTTCCGTCCAAATCTGGTTATTCGCCAATATTCGTATATCTAAAGAACGCAAAACTAATCTCTCAAAACGACTGTCTACACTGAGCCGTTCCATCACTATAATCACTTTAAAAATTCTTTCATGTTGTGCCAACTCGAGCTATAGTGAACTTCTTACTTCCGAAAGTCTTCTAATTTCCAAATTCAAACCAGCCTTCCTATACATATTATTAATAGTCTTAATATATATCTCATTTCCCTCCCTTGTTGTCTGTGGATGTCTGTAATTTAATACCTTGTAATATAGTAGCTTAATTTAATTTATTCACCCTTGTCACTGTAATTAAGATTTTTGAACGTCACTTTCAATAAAATTATTGTTTAACTGCTACGTTGATTTAAACATTTTACTATCTAAATTTACATACCCGCTTTCAGTGCAGTCCAGTAATGTTATAGCACAATGGAGTGAATTTTTGAAGCCGAATTGACATTCACTAAGTAAATCATTTTTTTACTTTGATCACTTAGCTGATACCTGGTAAAACTGAAATTGGTTTATATATGTTCTATTGGTCCATGTTCTATGATTCAATGTTCTATCTGCAGTTATACTGAAAGAATTTTAGTTCGTCAGTTCACATCTTAGCAATACTTGAGCAATAAGTATATAAAACGTTCCTCCCAAAGTTCCTCTCAGAATTGTATATAAAACGTTCCTCCCCAAAACGCAGGATACGCCATTTCAGAGATTCTAGATTTCAAAATTTTCCAGGAGAGTACGCCTCCAACCCCCTAAAGACTTGTCTA